TTGCCTCATTCTTTTTGATGGTGTTATTTAACCAATCCTCTACTGATGGACGTTTAATCTGTATTCTGATCTTGGCTATTACAAATAATCGTGCAATTAATGCTTTAGCATAGTGGGAGTATATCCCTAGGATAAATTCCTGGAAGTGGAATTGCTGGGTCAAAGGACATACCCATTTGTGATTTTAACAGATATTTCTACATTTGCCTTCCACAGGGGTCACCAATTTACATGTCCCAATAGGACACATGAGACGGCTTGTTTACCCAAACCCTTGCTCACGGGGAGTAGTAACATTTTCACATATCTGGTTTGCTATCTCAGTGTAGGTCAATTAGCATTTCTCTTATTGTGACTGAGGTTTATCATCTTCTCAAAGGCTTATGAAGCATTTGTTTTTCCTTTCCTGTGAAGTCTGTTCATATATTTGGCCCTTTTGGTGGCAGTCCCTTCTTTTTCTTAGGATTTGTAGAAACTTTTTTTTTTTTTTTAAAGATTTTATTTATTTATTTATTTTCCCCCCAAAGCCCCAGTAGATAGCTGTATGTCATAGCTGCACATCCTTCCAGCTGCTGCATGTGGGACACGGCCCCAGCATGGCCGGAGAAGCAGTGCGTCGGTGCGCTCCCGGGATCCGAACCCGGGCCGCCAGCAGCGGAGGGCGCGCACTTAACCGCCAAGCCACGGGGCCGGCCCTGTAGAAACTTTTATACTAGAGAATTCTGCCCTTGCCTGTGTAAGGGAAAAACACACTTTTGCCTATGTTTCTTCTCTACTCTCAATCCTCTACTACACACTGCTTCACTTCTGACATTAGATCTGTGGATTTTCCACACGTGAACCAATTCTGCGACATCAGCTGGGTGTCCTAAAATTTAACTCAATTCTGAAATCATCTACCTGGAGATAGTGTCAGATCTCATAGGTTAAGGGTTCAGTTCTACAAGACTGCCACCCCCACGCATGCACACACTTCAGAAGCCAATCCCAAGTCCAGTTTGTTACCTGTGCTTCCCATGACCCCTGAGAGGTCATCATCAGGACTTTGCTTTTTACAGAGGTAGGGAACCATTAGAGTAACATGATCTGATGTACATTTTAGAAGGAGCTCTTTGGCTGCTGTATTAAACACTGATGTTTTTTATGTGTGTGTGTTGGTGGGGGAGGTAGTGGTGGTTAGAAGCTGAAAGACCACTTAAGAGACTATTACCATAATTCACGTGAAGATGACAGATTTTGGATCTATTTTAAAGGAAAAGCCAGCGGGATTTGCTGATGGATTGTATGCGGGGTGTGAGAGGAAGAGGAGCTACCATTATGGAGATGGAGAAGGCTGCAGAGGATAGCTCAGCTCTGGACATCCTATGTATGAGATGTCTTTTAGACATCCAAGTGGAGAGCTAAAGGAGGTAGCTGGGTGTATGAGTTTGGAGTTCAGGGAGAAAACTCAGCTGGAGATGCACATTTGGGAGCTGACAGCTTGTAGACTATATTAAAACCATGAGACTGTGTGAGATCACCAAGAGAGTGAGTGTTGATGGAGAAGAAAGAGGCCCAGGGACTGAGCCCTGGAGCACACTAACAAAGGAGACAGATAAGGAATCTGCAAAGGAAACAAAACAAGAAGCCACTGAGGCTGGAAGAAAACTAAGAGACAGTAGTGAACCACAAGCCAGAATGAAGAAATTAATCAAGTAGGGAGTGATCAACAGAGATGAATGCTGCTCATCGGTTAAGAGGAGACCTATGCACTCGTCCCTCGCTTAAGCAATATGGAAGGAAGGTATGGGTAACGTTGACAAGACCAGTTTCAGTGGAGTAGGAGGGTAAAAACCTAGACTGGATTAGAGAGAATGGGAGGAGAAGAATTAGAGACAGGCTTCTCTGGTTTACAAATAAAACAAAACAATTTTCCTTAGGAAACCTAGGGAATGTTTTGAGATTTCTGTGATTGTCATATATTCAAGGTTTGTTTCCTCAAGAATTTAAGAGCCTACCAGATGGGAGTTGTGTATTCAAGACTTAAAAAAGCGTCTCTGATCAGGTTCTGAGATCACCAACATAACAGTGTTGAGGTAAGGTATAGGAAGATAAGGTAGAGGAATATGGGCATGGATGTCAGCCCAGGGCCAATCTTCCTCAGCAAAAAGAGGAGGACTGGCAATGGATGTTAGCTCAGGGCTAATCTTCCTCACAAAAAAAATATATATATATATATTCACTCGAGCCCCTACTGGCTCTCACATGACAGAAGATATCTGACGTGGTTTACAGATTCATCTGTGTGAACGTTTTCACCAGTGCTGCGTGTTTGAAGAGTCATGGCAAAAGAACCCAAAACAAACTAGGAAATGTTTCCAACAAATATAAACTGATGACTTTCCTTATATATTAAGGAAGATTATGTTTTTAAGAAAAAGAATATCCTAGGAGAATAATAAGCAAAAGACAAATATGCATATCACAAAAGATTTATAAAAGGCCAAAGAATATGGGGAAAAATGGCTCAACTTCATTAGTATTCACAGGAATGCAATTTGAAACAATGACTTTCTTTTTTTAATCCATCAGATGGGCTAGGATTAAAAAGACTGATAACCTCCACAATCGGTAAGGGTATGGACAACAAGCAGTATAAATTAGTACAATTTCTTGGTGGTGGGATTTCAAATAATTTTTTCCTTTATATTTTTCAGTATTGCCATTAAAAAATAATGAGCTTTTAACTCAAGAAGTCACGTTGCTATTGTCATTTGAAATAAAATCTCAAAATTAACAATATAGAAATATATCCACACATATATACACAGAGATACTTTTAATAAAATGTTACTATACCTGCCTGAGCTCAGGGCCATCTTTCTGCCGCCCATCTTCCATCCGCATTGCACTACAATCTGATCGCTGCTACTTGCTTGCTTACAACCCCTCAGTGGCTCCCACTCCAGAGCAGGCCCCGCAGCACAGAAAGCATCAAAACCCTCCAAGATCTGACACTCTCCACCTCTCCTCCCATGTCCTACCTCACACTTTTGGTTCAAGCTATACACCGTGCTTATGATCATTTGTAGCCATCTGCCTTCTTTACTCATTAATTTTTGTGTGTGTGTGTGTGCATGTGTGAGGAAGATCAGCCCTGAGCTAACACCCATGCTGATCCTCCTCTTTTTTTGCTGAGGAAGATTGGCCCTGAGCTAACATCTGTGCCCATCTTCCTCTACTTTATATGGGACGCCACCACAGCATGGCGTGACGAGCGGAGCATTGATGCGTGCCCAGGATCCGAACCAGCAAACCCCTGGCCACTGAAGCAGAGCGTGCACTTAACCGCTACGCCACCGGGCCGGCCCCATACTCATTAATTTGCCTGGAAATCCTACAGCCCCCTTCCTCCCTAGGGTACTGTCTGACCTGGAGCCCCTATAGTACCTTGGCTGACCAGCATTATTTCACTTAGCACAGAGCCTAGAAATCCTAGTCCTCTCCCTCCTTAGAATGTAAACTACAAACCAGGATCTTTCTTCTTAATTTTTGTATCCATCGTGCTAGCACAGTACCTGCCTGGTGAATAGAATGCTTAACACACTTACATTGTTTTGGTCATTTTTCTTTTTTGCTAATTCTGATACTTACTTTCACTTTATTGTTTGAAATGTTCATTATTCAGCTTAGAAAAGAGTATTGGAGGTTATACAGACAACACATCAGAACCTGAGTATTCTAACTTTTTAACTTTTCCTTTCTCTATAAACCAAAGTTCATCCCATAAACCTTAGAAACTGACTATAGGTCCAAACTGAATCTAAAAATAAATAAGAATTCATCATCTACCACCAGTGTTTTCTTTTCGAAAAGGAAGACAGCTGAAGGCAAAGTTTATAGGCTCTTCCAGAACATAGAGACAGATTTCCAGAGAAGGCAGTGGCTTAGAGACGTACTTATTAAAAAAGGAGGAAAGGGCCGGCCCCGTGGCTTGGTGGTTAAGTGAGTGCGCTCCACTGCTGGCGACCCGGGTTCGGATCCCGGGCTCCCACCGGCGCGCTGCTTCTCCGGCCATGCTGAGGCCGCGTCCCACATACAGCAACTAGAAGGATGTGCAGCTATGACACACAACTATCTACTGGGGCTTTGGGGGGAAAAATAAATAAATAAAATCTTTAAAAAAAAAAAAAAAAAAAAGGAGGAAAGATGAAGGGAGGGAGGAAAAGTCAGGAAACTAGGATACAATCTGAATTTTAAAAATACAATTTTGGCTTTAGTTTGTGAATGTTGTCATTTTGGGGATTCAACGATATTACCAGTAGAGGATGCGTAATCACCTTTACCTTAGTAGAAAACTTTTAGAATGCCCCAGCAATGGCTGTAGCTGAAGGAAACAGGTGTTTGCCCTCTGTAAGTAACAGCAGATGTGACCAAATGAACACATCCCTTGTCAAACAGTTGTGCATAGCTCAAGAGTTTTCAAATCACATATTGATTATTCAGCTAATGACTGAAAACAATTAGCAGCATACATTATCACAACATCCCCTCCCCTCATCATGTTAAGCTTTCAACCAGTCTTTCTAAGGCAGCATGTGAAGGTGCCAATAGCAAACTGATGAGTTAAAGGGACACACTAGGAAAACTGGAGAAATAATGCCATTTACTCATAGAAATGCTTCATTGTATCTGGAGAATTAGATATGTTTAACATCTGCATATAAGTTGATATGACATTTTATTCCCACCATAATTTTTAAATATAATCCAAGACTAAAAAAGTGTCTTTTTTCTTTTTAGACAAATTTAAAGCCTCAAAAGATCCCTTTCCTATAACTGAACTTATAGATCCAATGAAGGTATAGTTAATACAGAAATACACAGCAACTTCCTGAAGAAGGGTGAAAATAAAGAGAAAGTTTCAAGTCTTCTCTAAGTATTTCAGTTGTTGCCACTGGAGATGCCGCTGATGTAACAAGCAGCATCGGTCAGTCTAACACTGGTCATTCTAACACTGGTCAGTCGAACACTGGTCCAAGTCATCTGCATATCCTATTTCTGGAGAATAAGAAACTGTAGGAGTTTGCATAGTAAATCACCTAATGAGACCTTGGTCCTACAGTGAGAAAATTCCTTATAAAAGCTACCTGGGCTAAGCTGTCATCCAATACCACACAAGCATATAAAATACAGGATAAGGCTCCATCAGAAAAAACATTAACCACAAGAATAACGACTTCTCTCATCAGTTTAAAAGTGGGAAGATCTTACTTGATCAAAGCCCTGTTTTAACTAGATTGTCATGTCAGACTTCCTCTATAAATAGCCAAATTATTACAGGGTTCTAATGTCCTGTGGAAGAAGTGTTGGCCAAGGAGATGTTTAAACTATGCTTTTGATCCTAGGATAAACCAAGCAGTTAAATAATTTCAAAATGTGCAAAACAGACATTGTCCTCGAGTTATCGAGGCTCTACAAAGTATCTTTCAAATGATCCACAAGCCCTTACGTATTAAATAGCCACACAGGTGAGAACCAAATTCAGGCTTCCAGCAAAAATTGTAAAATGTTACTTGGCAAAAGCTTCAATTGCCTATGACAGCTTGTCAGGTAGCCATTGTCTTAAATTCCTCTGGATTCCTCTGGAATAGCTGTCTTTACCTTGAGCCTCTCACATTCTACTTGGCTGAGAGCTTAGGTCACAGGAAGTGAAAGCCAACAGCCGCTTACTCAACAGTGCATTGTGTCGCTTCAAGTATACTATTATGTCTCCTTGCTTTTCAACAACTTCTTCTAGGCTTGAAATAGTCCTGCAAAGAATCAAGATATTAATGGGTCACACATATTCACCAATACTCAGTCTCTTTGCAAATGGGTCCCCACCAGTTTTCAGTACAGCATATTGTATTTGTTACTTTTTCTTAGATATTATAAGCCAAGGCATTATTCCAAAATGGGATTCTTCCACTAGACTTGGTTTTACCACAGCTGAACAGAAGTAAACAAATCAAACATAATTCTAAATGCACACATGCAAAGTTGTCAACTCCAAGCATAGAATGGTTTCTAGATTTCCAGGGACAACTTTTAATTCTCTTTCTCTAATCTTTTACTCCCCACCCAAAGCTTACCTGAATCCAGTCTCTGAGGTAATATTGATGGGGTGAGCATAGATTTTTTCTTCTTCAAGTACATCAGGTTGTGGTTTGGATTTATTAAATTTTCGAATTTTCACTAAAATAATAAAGTCATTATTGTCAGGTTATCTAATTATGATAAATTTTCTACTTCCATTTAGTCAAATGACATTCATTGGCTATTTTTTCCAAATAAGTTAATAGGCATAAAAATGCTTCATAAAGTGAAGAAAAAGGTTTGTTTATCGACGTACTCAAACATTTGAAAGTCAACGATGGGGCCGGCCCCGTGGCTTAGCGGTTAAGTGTGTGCGCTCCGATGCTGGCAGCCCGGGTTCGGATCCCGGGCGCGCACCGACGCACCGCTTCTCCAGCCATGCAGAGGCCGCATCCCACATACAGCAACTAGAAGGATGTGCAGCTATGACATACAACTATCTACTGGGGCTTTGGGGGAAAAATAAATAAATAAAAAATTAAAAAAAAAAAAAAAGAAAGTCAACGATGTGCCAGGCCCGTACTAAGCGCTGGGAATACAGGGATTATCATTTTTATTGATAATAATAGTAGCAGCTACCATTTTTTGTGCACTTAAAACACAGAAGGCACAGGTGAACTGCTTCATGCGCACTGCCCCATGAGGCTCTCAGAACCGCCCCTGCGGCAGGTGCTCTTATCTCTCTTACTTTCTATAATCGAATAATGGGAAGCTCAGGAAAGTCAGAGACGCAGCCGGGTTCTAATCCAGGAAGCGTGACTTTAAAGCCTCCGCTGTTGGCACTACCCTAGAAAAAGAGCTACTAGTCCAAGGAAAAATACAGATAATAAGCCTACATTCCAAGACAGTACGAAATGGACCCAAAATCAAAGCTTGTACAAAGAGCTATGACAGCCCTGGAGAGCAGCCCCTTACTCAGCAGGAGTGGTGACGGGAGGGAGGATCAGAGAGCAGGAAGTGGTGGAGCCCAAGTCCAGCCTTGAGGGAAACACAGGAAGTAATCACACAGGCCAGGGGAGTGGAGAAGAAGGTGCAGCAGGAGGCTGAACAAACGCTTAGGATCTTGAGAAGGCGTGTGTGTACGAGGGTTGTGGGAGTGGGGCACCAACAGCAGGTGAGGCTGGAAAGGCAGGCAGGGAAGACATGAGCGGCTGGTGGGCCATGCCAAGGCATTTAGATTAGATCCTGAGAGCAAACAGCAGTCATTAAAAGGATCTCGTCATCATCCCTGAAGAGCAGGAATGGGCAGGAGCCAATTCGTGGAGAGCCTTTTATGCCACACTAAGATTTCAGCTTTTCTTCCCCAGGCCATTAGAAACCTCTGAACAGGGAAGTTGTTAATGATCAGAGTTACCTATGAACATGATCACGCTGGCAGGAGTAAGGAATATGAATCAGAGGACAGAGGGAGGGAGACCAGTAGTGTGCCTCCTGGAATTATCCATGCAAGACGTGATGAATACCTAACCAAGGCAGTGGCATTGACAAAGGAAAGGAGACAGATGTGAGAGGCAGGTGGACTGAATAGGACCGATGAAACACTGATGGAGACTAAGGTGGAAGGAAGAATCCAGGATGACACCTAGGGAGGTGCAGGCTGCCACTGTTAGCTGAGATAGGGGAGGAGGGAGAGGATGGGGAAAGGCTTTGAAGAACAGGAGAGGAGGCTCAGTTCAGTTCTGATCTTGTTGGTACCTATGGGACACGCAGATGGAAATCATCACTAAGCAGATGAATATAAAGGTTTGGGTGGCTCTGTTCATTTAGGGGCTGCCCACTAGTGTATAGATGGTAACTAAATATGGCGAATGAAAAAGGATGAGGGCTAGTGAGAGAATGCTGATACCCACCCACCCATATTAAAAAAGCAGGGAAAAAATCTGCTAAAAGAGAATGTAAATAAATATCCAGAGAGGTAGGAGCAGAATCAGGAAAGAGCAGTCAGTGTTCACTGCCCTAAAAGTGAAGACGTGTAGAGGATCCAGTGAATTTGGCAGTTTGGAGGCTACTGATGAACTTGGCAGTTCTTTGGGATAAGTGGCATCACGGACTGAATTGCGTTCCCCCCAAATTCATATTTGAAACCCTAAGCACCAATGTGGAGATAGGGCCTTTAGTGAAGTAATTCAAGTTAAATGAGGTAAAGGGTGGGGCCCCGATCTGATAGAGGAAGAGACACCAGGGATGCGCCTGCACTGAGCAAAGGCCACGTGAGGACACAGCAAGAAGGCAGCCATCTACAAGCCAAGGAGAGGCCTCAGGAGAAACCAAACCTGTCAACACCTTGATTTTGGACTTCCAGCCTCCACAACTGTGAGAAAATAACTCTGTTGTTTCAGTCACCCAGTCTGGGCATTTTGTTATGGCAGCCCTAGCGAACTAACGCAAGTGGGCAGAAGTCAGCTGCAACGAGGTAGATAAGCAGAAACAATGAAGGCTTCCAACTCCTCAGGTCTGACAACAGACAGAGCAGAACAATTTGCATCTCTGAATAACAGCTACTGTACTGTCTGAATAACTCTGGGACCTGGCTGGAACCAGCAGTCTCCACCACAGAAGGCTACAGGGGAAGAAACAGCAAGGGTTGAGCCAGGTCTTAATGAAGGCAGTGACTGTCAACTCAGACTGAACATGAGAATCACATGTGCAACTCCAAATGAGCCAGAATATTCAGCATGTGGGGAGGGGGAGGGGTGGTGGGTTAGACCCGGGCACCAAACTTTTGAAAAGCTCCACATATGATTCTTTCCTGGTGAAGAAGATTGGCCCTGAGCTAACATCCATTGCCAATCTTCCTCTTTTCGCTTGAGGAAGATTGTCTCTGAGCCAACATCTGTGCCAATCTTCCTCTATTTTCTATGTGGGATGCCGCCACAGCATGGCTTGACGTAGGTCTGCACCTGTGAGCCCTGGGCCCCTGAAGCAGAGTGTGCAAACTTAAGAACTAAGCCACAGGGCCGGCCCCAGATTCTTTCCTTTTTCATAACAACTTTTGAGATATGATTCACATACCATGCAATTCACCCATTTAAAGTATACAATTCAATGGTTCAGTATATTCAAAGAGTTGTGCAACCATCTCCACAATCACATTTAGAACATTTTCATCACCCCAAAAAGAAAGCTGGTATCCACTAGCAGGATTCTCCATTTGCTCCCTGCCTCCCCAGCTCTAAGCAACCACTAATCTATTTTTTCTCGCTATAGATGTGCCTGTTCTGGACATTTCATATACATGGAATCATATAATATGCAGTCCTTTGTGACTGCTTCTTCTACTTAGCATAATGTTTTCAAGGTTCACCCATGTTGTAGCATGTTTAGTACTTCATATATTCATTCCTTTTTATGGCTGAATAATATTCTATCATATGGATATAACACATTTTGTTTATCTATTCATTAGTTTATCCTAATATCATTTAGGTTGTTTCCATGTGCCTATGATAAATAATGTTGCTTTGAACATTTGTGTACAAGCTTTTGTGTAGATATGTACATGTTTCCAGTTCTCTTGGATATAGACCTAGAAGTGCAATTGCTGAGTCATATGATAAGTCTATGTTTAACCTTTTGTGGAACTGCCAGGCTCCACATATGATTCTGATGTGCACTCTCAGCTGAGAACTAGGCTGAAGAAGCTACAGCGAAGAGGTTAAAGAGAAATGTGAAAACATTAGGCGATATGCAGAGGGTTCATCAGAAAGGACCACGAAGGACCAGGCCGTATGACACAAAAGAACAAAGTGAGGTCACATATAACTAGGAGCCCTTGACTTTTAGGTACGGCAAGGAAGTTACAAATGAGAAGCACCTACAGCTTCAAAGGGCACAGGCACAAAACCTGAGGTGCTACTGCTCCCAGGTTAGAGGAGACTGGGACTGAGCCCCGGGGCTCCACCACCAACAGGTCAGGGAGAACACTCAACAAAGGAGAAGATGGGGCCCAGGGAGGCAGGCAGGAAACCAGGGAAGCCAGAGTCCCAGAGCGTTTCAAGGAGGGAGTGATCAACTGTGTCAATTGTCATCCAGTAAGATAAAAGCAGAGAATCGACTGTTATATAAGGGCTGCTGGGGAATCTGAGCTATGTTTATATCTTATCTCTCTAAAATGGTGTCTTCCACATAATAATTCCTATATAAAGGAACAAACTTGGAACAAGTCTAAGCTTCCTGAATTGGGGCACAAGAGATAATAGGTACACAGTATTAAAGTAAAAATTAAGAGGCAGGAAAAAAAGACTCATAGTCTGACAATATAAAAATGTCCATCTTTGGGCCGGCCGTGTGGTGTAGCGGTTAAGTGCGTGAGCTCCGCTGCTGGCGGCCTGGGGTTCAGATCCCGGGCACGCACCAGTGCTCCGCTTGTCAGGCCATGCTGTGGCGGCATCCCACATAAAGTGGAGGAAGATGGGCATGGATGTTAGCCCAGGGCCAGTCTTCCTCAGCAAAAAGAGGAGGATTGGCATGGATGTTAGCTCAGGGCTGATCTTCCTCACAAAAAAAAAAAAAAAAAAGTATATCTTTAAGACTTTTCTTTGCAGTATTTAAAATAAATTAAATTGGGGCCGGCCCCGTGGCTTAGCGGTTAAGTATGCGCTCCGCTGCTGGCGGCCCGGGGTTCGGATCCCGGGCGCGCACCGACGCGCCACTTTTCCGGCCACGCTGAGGCCGAGTCCCACATACAGCAACTAGAAGGGTGTGGAATTATGACACACAACTATCTACTGGGGCTTTGGAGGGAAAAATAAATAAATAAAAGTTTAAAAAAAAGAAAATAAAATAAATTAAATCGGATGCATTCAGCATTTTTTAGATCGCAGATCAGGCAATAACACCAATGCAAACTGCAGGGAACAAGAATCTTCCACCCCTTCCATCATAAGTCAAGGAAAGCATGCATGCGAGAACATCAAAGTACTAAAAGACAGGTGGACTGTTCACCATTTACATCTTCCATCCTGTACTGAAGCTCTTACAACTTCAGGGCAGTTTTACCAGCTGCTGGAAGGCTGACAACTGAGGAGCATTAATTGAATCTTTGCCTTATTTTCCAATGAACGAAAAGCTAATCAAATTTAGTAACTCAACACTGTTTTAAATTTTATGTTCCTAGTTCCCCTATAGAGGCAGTCAAGCAAATTAGTGCTCAAAGAGAAGAGTCCACCTTGGTTTCTAACTGCACACTTATAATGCAAATAAATTAGTCAAAGTTAGGTTAGAATTAGTATATCAAAGAATCATGTCCTAAAGAGTTACTGTCAATGTTATCAAAACTAGCTACCTTTTAAAATCTTTTTAGTATAGAAAAGCAAGAAAAATGCATATATTAGGGACCAACCTTAAATTTTCTGTGACACTGAACAACAGCAACCTTTGTCCCTAGAAGCTATTCCCTAAATCTCCTGTCAGAGCCTACAGTACCTTTAAAAGAACATTATAATTTAAAAAGTAAACCTATTATTGAGGATATGGAGGAAAAATAGTCATATTTGAAGCTTCTAAAGAAATTCAATTATTTGCAGAAACCCTACATTAAGTAAATTTATAATTATCATAATAATTATAAACCTTTCCTAGGTACATCATCTATTTATTTTTCAAATCTGAATTACCAATTATCAGGTTTTCTTAAAGTAGGAAGCATATTAACTTGAGATTTAAAAGACAATTTTTAACGGTGTATTTTATTCAGATAAAAAATTTAAAAATTAATGTAAATAAAGATGAAATACGTTTCTAAGTCTTTGACTATAGATCAAAGCAATTCTTTTTAATTAGGAGACAATGGATTAAAATAAATGGTATATGCTAAAGGAAAATTCTTCCTGTTCAAGTTTAGGTGTCATGTAACTAATATAGTTGTGTCCAACTGTAAAAATTAGTTCCTCTCAGGATTCTTGGAACATCTGCTTCCTCTGCCTCCTTTTAAACGGTCTCAGGTTTTTTGTCTTTTTGTTTTTAACATAACCTGTCTTATTTATAGTATAATTAATTTTAAATGCTACAGCAAATCCTTTAAAAATAGTACAGTAAATCCCAGAGAAATAAATCTTGGACTACATTTTAACAGTATTAATTTCCCCCTATTTACATGATGACGTTCACATTATCTTTGGAATATTGTTGTCACCTCCTTCTATGTCACAGAGCATCCTATAGGTATTGTAGAAAATACTTTACCAATGGCTTATACCCCTGGTTGTAAATAAAAATTGTAGGGACATTATAAAATAACATGCTGATTGAATTCTATTCTCAGATCTAAACTAGAATCCCATTTACAGCACTTGACAGACATGATATGGAGCTGATCTCAATCAACAAGATAATTCAATGTTCATTTCTGTCACATGGATCACTTTACTAAAGTAGTGAGCTATTAACTATACACTGAAAAATGAACTTTACTTTAAAGTCTCATCCTTTTCTATGAAGTTAAGTGGGTGGTGTACATTTCTCTTTTTCGAGTGAGGTACAAATGTAATCCTCTACCTAATTTGGCTAATTGTTAGCTGATAACTACAGAAAAATTTACAAAAGTCAATTAGGAATGTGACATCATTCACATTTACAAACTGGTCACTCCATTCATATTCTAAATACTCTTCTCTAGGCCTCAAGGAGACACACCAAAAAAATGAAAATGTAAAATGAAACACAAGCTGAGACCCATGTGACGTCTTCCTTCCTAACTAGAGAAATGATTGCTTTGAAAATGGATAGATAAGGTATTTTATTATCACAAAACAATTGTTGCTCAGTGCCACAAAGTTAGCTCGTCAGTACTGCAGCAGGAATGAAATCTAGGTTTCTCCAGGGCTTGAATTTTTTTCTGTTAAAAAATTCGGGCTGGCCCCATGGCTTAGTGGTTGGGTGCACGCGCTCCACTGCTGGCGGCCCAGGGTTCGGATCCCGGGCGCGCACCAACGCACTGCTTCTCTGGCCATGCTGAGGCCGTGTCCCACATACAGCAACTAGAAGGATGTGCAACTATGACATACAACTATCTACTGGGGCTTTGGGGGGGAAAAAAATAATTTTTTTAAAATTCTGTTTCTGTTTTTTCTGTTATCCTTCCATCTATTTTTCATGTTACCATATCTGAAGCTTACTTTACCACTGAGAGTTTTAAGAGAGACAGACAGACAGACAGACAGAACAACACTCAGAAAGCTCTAAATTTAGAAAGGAGTGGGCTCTTAAATGGTTTATCCCAAAGCAAGTTTGGGCTAAATGCAGTTTTGCATGCATTACTTATTTGCTTACTTATTTTGTATTTTGTTATTATTTTTTTTTTTTGGTGAAGAAGATTGGCCCTGAGCTAACACCTGTTGCCAATCTTCCTCTTTTTGCTTGAGGAAGATTGTCCCTGAGCTGACATCTGTGCCAATCTTCCTCTATTTTGTATGTGAGACGCCACCATAGCATGGCTTGATGAGCAGTGTGTGGGTCCGCACCCAGGATCCGAACCTGCAAGCCCTAGGCTGCCGAAGGGGAGCAGGCCAACTTAACCACTATGCCACTGGGCCCGCCCACGTTATTTTTAATTTTAAATGCCAGACTTACATTTCAGTTGCCTTTGAGGAACCAAAGTTTGTGGGTCTTTTTGATTGTTTTTGTTTTTGTTTTGTTTTGTGAGGAAGACCAGCCCTGAGCTAACATCTGATGCCAATCCTCCTCTTTTTTTTTCGCTGAGGAGGACTGGCCCTGGGCTAACATCTGTGCCCATCTTCCTCTACTTTATATGGGATGCCACCACAGCATGGCTTAACAAGTGGTGCATCAGTGCGTGCCCGGGATCCAAACCAGCGAACCCCGGGCCACTGCAGCAGAGCGCACCCACTTAACTGCTTGCACCACCGGGCCGACCCCTCGTTTTTGTTTTTTTAATGAAAAGCCTTCACATTAGTTGACAAAAATTTGTTGATGACACAAATTTAGAAACGTGACTCACTGGTATCTTCCTGTTGGTTTGAAATTAGAGAAGTGTGGATGTGGACAGCAATGAGAGATACAGATGCTAAACAGGTTCTCAGCTACGTAGACAAACTTCCTTGTCGCAAAGCTAATGGGATAGGCTTCAGGTGGGAATGAAACAAGCAGTCAAAGGTCTTTATAAGAACAGCCTAGTTGTAATTCTCACCTGTGTAAACGAGCAGACACATGAGGGAACAGATCAGTTCCAGGGCCAGGATGGCCAGGATGAGGACAAGATACAGTCTGCCGGGCTCAGGGAAGGAATGCTGCATGCACAGGATGAGCAGAAGCGCTGTGCTGCCTGAGAAGGAGAAACATAACATGGTGTCAGCTGGAGCCCAGTGCCCACACCCACGAGGGCATACACACACCCAGACGCATTTTATACTCAGCAGTGAAGGAAGTTAAAGGATAAAGACCAAAAAACGCTAATCTTTTGAGGAAAAAAAACCAACACTTCATCTAAGAGTTAATGATGCCCCATAGAACAAATACACGTATAAGAATCTGGACTTTCTTAAAAACTAAGGAACGATTTTTTGCTTCATAGAATGATGAACAATGACATTCCTTTGGGTTCTGTGTGCATTTAAAAAATGATGCCGTTTTTAGAAATTTGCATTATCCTAGTTCTTCAGGCTCCAGAGGCACCTGAGGACCCTAGTAGCTGGTTCTGGTCACATCGTGCACCAAGGGCAGAGCTGCCCCAAGGTTAAGAACGCTGCAATGATCCAGCCCACCTGGATGAAAATCCGGGACACGCTGCTAACCGTGGACAAATGACCTAACACCTCTGCCCCTCGACGTCCTCATCTGAAAAATGGGGATAACAGCACCTTCCTCACAGTGCAGTTGTGAGAAGTAAATGAGTTAATATATGAAAAACACTTTGAATGGTGCCTGGCCTGTCAGTATTCAATAAATATGAGCTATTTCCCCCCTGCTCAGCATATCCATTATTGATTCTTGAAGACTATTTTAACCTCGTTCTGCACTTTTATTCTAAAGAACATCAAAAAAGTTTAGGGGCAGAAGTGATTCCTATAGCATCTTGTCTTAGAATTTCCTCAAACTTATTTAACATATTTATTGAAGTCTGATCAGAGTGGTAGGGGGATGCTTATTTGATTTACCATCTATTTCTTGGTACAAAAGGGATGACTGTGAGCAAAAGAGCCATGTTTAACGACCCATCGGAAGTCCCTCTACACAAAGCTATGTTCTAACAAGCACGAACCCCTCCTCTCACACTCACAAATGTCACAGTGCACTAGCATGCTGACAGATTGCTAAATTTGTAAGTTAGTTTTGTGAACAAGACAAATATTCTACAACATTTAAGGGAAAAAAAAACCTAGGAAAAAAACCTGCACAGAAAGTGAACATACAGTTTTCAGAGGATTTCTTTGTTTTTTTTACTAATTTTATTTATTTTTTTTTTCCCCCAAAGCCCCAGTAGATAGTTGTATGTCATAGCTGCACATCCTTCTAGTTGCTGTATGTGGGACGCGGCCTCAGCATGGCCGGAGAAGCAGTGCGTCCGTGCGCGCCCGGATCCGAACCCGGGCCGCCAGCAGCGGAGCGCGCGCACTTAAACGCTAAGCCACAGGCCGGCCCAGGAGGATTTCTAATGTACTGGGCACGCCTACATGTCAGCAGGGGCGTGGGTCACAGGGCGTCATCGGAGCTCTAGGGACACGAAGTCTGCAGCCCGGTGGGAGAGGCATACTGAAATAAAACATCCCCTAAATGGCATGTGCTGTGGACATTATAAAACTCCCCTCCTTGAGGACGCCCTGCCCAGCGCATCTTGTTCAGACTGATTACATGGGCCCTGGGTTACCGCAACAGCCTCCTCATCAGTTTTGCTCCAACCAAATGCACTCGCCAGCTACAGCCCATGGATCTTTCTAAATCTCACACATCTCAACGTGCCCCTCCCCTGCAATGGCTCCCCTCTGGCATCCCTCAGGATCCGGCCCTGGCCTACCTCTCCAGCCTTGTCCTTCACCCTTTACCCCCTCCCAGCTCACTCCTGCTCGGTGCTGCCCTGCTCACCCTCTCAGGGCTCAACAAATGCTTCCTACATGGCAACTGTACATGATCAGGTTTGGGTTTTTTAATGGTTTTATAACTACAGACATAAGCCTAAATGTTTCTTGTTTTATTCCATTTGCCACTTAAAAAAAAAAGATTCTAAGAATTAATGGAATACTTACTATTCATTAAAAATACCGGGAGGAAACAAGTTCCTGTGGGCAGGGGAGGTACTACAGTCATGAGGGCCTGAGCTCGGAGAGCCAGGAGGCCTGGGCTCCAGTGCAGGACCTGCCGCCTCTTACAAACCGTGAGCCCCAGACTCCTGCTCTATAAAATTGGGGAAATAACACTTTTCACACAAGCCCTGTGGTAGGAGGAAATGCACTAACGATGCCTAAGTAGTGTTGGGGCCCATGGCAGGCCACCCCAAAATATCCCACAATGGCATGTTGATTATTTTGGATTAAAGTTATTTGAGAAGCAAAAAAGGCATTCTGACCCTCCTGTCTCTGTTCCTCTGAAAGCAGGAAATAAATCTCCCAGGTGAAAGGTACTCTCCCTGCATCCTTATCACCAGAGCTAGGGAATTCAGGGCTGAGAAGCCTATATAAAAAAACCTTGCTTAGGGGCCGGCCCCGTGGCGCAAGCAGTTAAGTGCGCGTGCTCCACTGTGGCAGCATGGGGTTCGCCGGTTAGGATCCCGGGCCCGCACTGACGCACCGCTTGTCGAGCCATGCTGTGGCGGCGTCCCATGTAGAGTGGAGGAAGGTGGGCACGGATGTTAGCTCAAGGCCAATCTTCCTCAGTAAAAAGAGGAGGATCAGCATCAGATGATAGCTCAGGGCTGATCTCCACCCCCCCCCCAAAAAAAAAAAACCTTGCTAATTTACTACCTCAAGCCTAAACTCTGCTTAAATTCCTCACTAATTATGTACCTCAAATCTAAGTTTCTTTGCCCTGTCATTCATCACAAATTTATTTGTTTCTTTGTGTAAAATATATATATTGCATGCTTTCTTTACTCTCTGAGCATCATTTCTCTATGATCTCCAACACCTACTTATTAAACTGGGTTTTTCTCCTGTTAATCTGGTCTCTGTCAATTTTATTATTAGTCCAGCTGTAAGAACACAAGAAGGGTAGAAAGGAATTTTCCCCTGCCCCTACAGTAAGCATTCAATAAATGGTAGGTATCATCATTATTATTATAATTCTAGTTTTATGAAATCGATGGCAATTCCAGGCACACGGCATCCAGCCCCTCCTCCAAGCAAGTCCCCATGACAGACTTGGTCATATGCTAAACCACAGCAAGACCCTGCCTTTTTGCTCCATTGCACCCAAGAGCAACAGACTCAGTCAGTCATCAGGGAGGACCCGAGCAGGCATTTCTCCAAGGCAGCTGAGAGCACCTCAGGCCCTCCTGAGGAATATGACCAGTGGGAGCTAAGGGTGTGTAGAACACAATCTCTCTGACCTAGGGTCCTAGAATTCCTACTGGGACCCACTTCTATAAATAAGTTTTCCTACCAAAATTGACACTCCAGAGTAGTTCCCTCAAGCTGCACTTTTGCACGTCCTCAATCTCTGGGTTCATCCTTTCAGGCCCCGGAGGGGAACCTGTCTGGGCGCATCTGAAATTTACTGCTTTTCAATGAAGGGCCAAGTTTTGATTTCAATGGAAAAACCGAACAACTAAATATGCAACTTGCTATGTAACTAATAATAGTTGATAGGGTTCAAGATATATTTGGATCTAAGGAAGGAAAACAGATAAATCAGATAAATATTTTCAACTTATCTGGAAGGAAAGGAAAGCCCCTTGGCCCACCTCTACAAAATAAAATAAAATAAATCTATTTTTCTCTCTCTAGAGAATAACAAAAAGTATCAGGATGAAGCTCCCCAGTATCCAGCAATACTATCACATGCAATAAAAAGAAGGGTTACACCCTTCTGATGAGCTGGAACTTCTATATCCTCATAGAGTTACCTTCCTTTTCTCCAAATAAGAAAAAAATACTTAAACAAAATAGAAACAGGGCAAATACCTGCCCCGATCTCTTTGACTTTCTGCGTCCTTACATGAGCAACATAAAAGTGATGCCATTTGTGATTAAACTAGGGGTCCAATTGTTTAGAAACTGATTATGATTAAGGGTCACATGTTTAGCAAGAATTTGAAAGTCAAAGAAAAAGTACAGATCAGACAATGTCTTGCTGGGCCTCAAAAATACTTTTCCAGACCATCACTTGAGAAACTGAACATTTTGGTTATAGCACATATAAAGTCTTTCAGTAGTTAAAATTAGGTTTCTGCTTTTATCTTTGTGGGAGGGAGGAAAGGTTGTAGTGACATCGACTGGCAAAAAGAGAGTACTACACATCAAAGGTTGAAGATGGAAACCAAGCTCTTCCTCAGGGAGCAGTAAATGTGACCCCCCACCCCCCCCACGCCCGCCTCCTTCAAGGTGAGTCAAGATCAGCCATCCCTATAAAATGCTTCTTTCTCTGCTATAGCACGGCCCTTTAGCTTCTACTGAGAACGTCACTGAGTGGATGAACTCGCAGCTTACCCTTTAAGAAAATGCACTAACAGAACATAGAAGAAAAATAAAAGTTAAAGTTATGTAGAGCTGTTTTTCTGGGTAAAAAATTCATTTCTAATCTGGTTTCAAAATGTTTAAAGATCTATTCTGGACTCAAATTGAAAAAGAGGGTCTTTTAAAAAGGCAGAAACTTTGACACTAAGGCAAAAATACCTAAAGAAGTTCAATTCAATTGAATGCAGTTAAACCTTTAAAATAATTACAACAATAAAGAAAAGCAGGCATTCACGCATTCTAAGTCCTGTGTGGACTTTCTGATCCTGCCTTCATAAATCGTTTTGCAAGGCTTCTGTTTGGGATAATATATCGTATTACATGACAGTCTCTCTTACTGCAAGAAAAGCACTGAGCTTCATAAAAATAAAACAATTCCCTCTTATCCTACAAGTATCAAATAACAACAGCATTTATATCTCCTTGAGATGAATAAGCCTGCTGAGATCAAAAGAGGGGAAAATTCTACATTTCACACAGGGATATATGGATACCACGTTCATAATGAAGGGGAGCAGAAAAAGCCACCCCAAAATACACCTTTTTGGCAGAAGGATTATTAAACTGATTATTTTTAAGAAACAGCAGACACAGGAAAAGCTCTGAAAACCAAGAAATTATCCTTTTGTGAGTGATATTTACATTTATAAGGGAAATCTCCATTTGCGAGGGTGTCTCCCCCTCTGTACAGGGAAGAGAAGGATGGCTCTAAATCTCTATAAACTCTTATCAATGGAGAAGGCAATGACCTAAATCTGCATAACAACCTTACCCTTGTTTACTGTTTTTCCTGGTGATCTCCCATAACTGCCTCCCCACAATATCTTCTATTGTCTTTAGCTGCAGATGGTATCTAAGGGGCCATTTCAAGGAGGTACTCAGCTTTCCTGGGTCTCTCCCATGTATACAGGTACACATGTTAGTAAACTTCTGTTTGTTTTTCTCCCTTTGATCTGTCTTTTATTTCAGTGAGAGTCTGAGCCAAGAACCTAGAAGTGTAGAGGGAAATTTTTTTTTCCTCTCCTACAATAACAAACACAGATTTCAAAGGAAAATAAGGCTGTATATATTATAAGAAAAGCTTCAAGACATTAAGGTGATCTGAATTTTAGTGGCCGCAACACACATCACTCTCACAAAAATGAGAATATATTTGATTATCAAGTCAAACTTCATGTTTTCTTTCTGCTGTCATTTTTGCCACTCAAGCAAGCCACAGACAAGCTGAGCAGGACAACTGGGCTTACCCACAGAATGTATCATCAGTGCGAGTCTTTTAAGATGCCTCGTTGATCGGTAGATCGCGTTATAGCCTCGGCTTCTTACTTTGCTGTGGTGATACTGGATGTACCGTTCGAGAAGGAAATGCAGAATCCACAAAATAACTTTTCCAAGGATTATGACTGTCTGAACTTTCAGTGGGTTGGTATAGTTTCCTGGGCACTTGTCCTCATTTGGATTAGGGTAAGAACAAAGCACACCTGTTAAAAACGCTAAAATAACAAACACAACCTGGTGGAAAGGAAAGCGGTAGGATTAATATTCAATATTTAGATTTAAGAAACAATAATCACCATCGCAGTACATACTCTTATACCTATGACTGTCACTATCCTATTTTTATAAGTGAATTTAAAAACAGAGTTTTTGCCATTTTTTACAAACGTTTTAAACAGAAAATTTGGAGAAAGATTTGCAGAAAATTTGGAAAATATAAAATCACAAATATGAAAACAAAAATCATCCCAAATCCCACATAACAGAGACAAGTACTTAATGTTAAATGCAGTTTCCTAGGGCTGGCCCCGTGGCTTAGCAGTTAAGTGCATGCGCTCTGCTACTGGCGGCCCGGGGTTCGGATCCCGGGTGCGCACCGACGCACCGCTTCTCCGGCCATGCTGAGGCCGCGACCCACATACAGCAACTAGAAGGATGTGCAACTATGACATACAACTATCTACTGGGGCTTTGGGGAAAAAAAAAAATGCAGTTTCCTGCCCACTTCTCTTTTATTGAAAAGAATAACAAGTTAGTTTAGCACCTCAAAGGTAACTATTAAAAATCATGGCTTAAAAAAATTTATTTCTTGGGCCGGCACAGTGGCGTAGTGGTTGAGTTCACAGGCTCCGCTTTGGCAGCCTTGAGAGTTCAGATCCCAAGCTCGGACCTATGCACCACTCATCAAGCCATGCTGTGGCAGGCATCCCACATATGAAGTAGAGAAAGATGGGCACGGATGTTGGCCCAGGGCCAATCTTCCTCAGCAAAAAGAGGAAGATTGGCAACAGATGTTAGCGCAGGGCTAATCTTCCTCATCAGAGAAAAAAAAGTTTATTTCTAGTTTCAGTTTTAAGAGAACAAGAATAACTATCCAATTAGATCGACAAAAATTTAAAAGATTGGTGCCAAAATACAAGCAAACACCCTCATAAATTGCTGACTGGTCTGGGAATTGCTGTTGAAAAAATAATTTGGAAATATCTATCCCTCAGAAGTAAAAGCACTAGTACATAGGATGTACGGGTATGAGTATTTACTGCAGTATTCTCTATATTTGCAAAAAAACTGAAAATTGCCCATGTATATGTGTCCCTCCATAGCAGAATGCTTGAATAAATTAAGGTACATCCACTCATATAATAGAATATTATTCTGCTATAAAATAATTAACTTTAAATCGCTGTGTATTAGTTTGGATGGATGTCTACGACATGTGAAGATTAAAAGAAAGAAGTTGTAGGGTAGTAGTTCAAAGTGTGGTTTCCAGACCAGCCGCATCAGCATCAGCATTACTGGGGAAATTGTTAGAAATGCAAATTCTCAGGCCCACCCCAGACCAGCTGAATCAAAATCTCTGGGGGTGTGGCCAAGAAATCTAGTTTAACAAGCCTGCCAGGGAGTCTGATGCACGCTGAATTTTGAGAAACACTGCTGCAGAGTAATAAATACAGTACTATCCATTTTGTTTTTTTTTTTTTAAGAAACAGGGGAAATCTTTTTATATATGTAATCTTTTTGTATATATTTGTATACACTTAACAAAAGGCATGGAAAGAGCTACAACTGGCCCCATTTATTAACTCAGGGAGAAGGGCTGAAGCAGAGAAAAGGGAAGATTATGATTTTATCTTTGTACACTTCGGTAATACTTTGTTACAATAAGGAAGTATTATTCTGTATTTTAAAAAATCAAAAATTTAAAATGCTATCATTGGCATCCATCGCCAAGCATCCAATAGTAGGCAACCTTATCATATAATATATCTAGGTAAAACATATGTGATTTGTCACAGTGGTTTGTCAAGAGCAGTAATTTTTGTATGACAACTCAAGATGCATGCCACCATGAAGCAAAAAGTTGAAAAGTCAACAGTCCCTATAAATCAATACCTTGTACGTTGAACCCAACTGATCCATTTTGTATAAAGTAGCACATAAAGACATTAATTTTTCTTGTTCTTTAACACTTAGGATTTTCTTGTCCTAAAGTTAGGGCAATCAATCCCATAGGATCAAAGACATGTAATTTAATCTAAAAAGCTTTTTTTTAAAGTGGTATGTGTGGGGTGTATATACATAAAGAATACGTTATACAAAAAGTAAAAGGAAAGAAGAAAAACAGGCCACAATCCAGGGACCAGGAGGCTATCGCTGCCATGTGGTGTCACCAGGAAAGAAGTGCTTCAGTTGATATCTGGGGATCAGGAAGCCATGGCAGAACCACACCACACTTACTAGACCCACACAAGGAAAACAGATAGACCTCTCTCCTCAACGTACTCAGTTCTGAATTCAAGTCTCCCACAGTGCATCTCACTGAGGCAGCAGCCAATCAAGTCAATCAACCACATTCACCATCCTCATAAACACCCAAGGAGTGGCAAGAATTTGCCCTCTTTTGACTCTTCATATTGCAGCAAAGAACAACTATAACCCCTAGGGCTTCAGACTGCAATAACCAAAATGGAGGAAATGATTAACGGACTTGGAGCAGAGCCACCAATAAGCCTACAACAAAACCATTCATATGTGTGTTTCTGTTTTTGTTTTCATTTAGGGTTTTCCTTTTAATGATGTTGAATTTACTTATTTATTTTTATTGAGATATAGTTGACATATAACATTGTATAAGTTTAATGTGCACAACGTGTTGATTTGATACATTTATATATTGCAATATGATTACCATTGTAGCATTAGCTAACACTTCTAGACCGTCACATAATTATCATTTCTTTTTTGTGGTGAGAACAATTAACATATCTAGCCTCTCAGCAATTTTGAAGTTTATAATACCATATTGTTGACTATAATCACTATGCTGTGTATTAGGTCTCCTCGACTTATTTATCTACTAGTTGCAACACATGTTTTTAAACATCCCTAGACATTTGTAATTTTATCATCTTATAAAACATGGGGCAACATGATATGTATTGTTCTGCTGTAAATTGACTTCTCTGCTTAACATTATTTCCTAGGTGTAGATAAACATAAATTTCTGTGTCAACATACATAGATTTATCTGTATCTTTTTTGTTTTTATAACTGAAAAAGTAATACATGCCTACGGTAAAAAAAAATTTCAAGTAGTACAAAAAGTAAACAGTAAAATATATTAGGTGTCCCTCCCACTGAGGCCCTCAGTACCAACTAGTGTTAAAAGGGTCTTGTGAATGTGTTAGCACCCAAAAAGGGGGTTCATCTGCCCGCCGCAAGACATGCCAATAGTCAAGAGGCAAGGAGGTAGGAGAAAAAGGACTTTTTATTACAGCTTGCTAGCAAGAGGGAAGATGGGCGACTAATGTCCGGAAAAAACCATCTTACAGAACAAAGACTACAGGCCAGTTATACACGGGGCTGGTCTCCGGGTGGGGGAGGCAGCTGGTCTCTGGGTTGGGGCAGACATCTGGTCTTAGTTCCTCATAATCTTTGGTTTTACTGGATATGCATCAGAGACCAGAGCAACGCCCTACACCCTGATCTTTTAGTTGTCCTTGATGATGGCTATCGGCACAGACTCTCTGCCTGGGGGTCATCACATTCCTGAGGAACTCAAGAGAACAAAGTTATCGACTTATTGCAGCTGGGAGGGCCTGTAAAATCTACAGAGCATGTCTGGGCTAGTTAATCAGAGGTCATTCAAAGTTACATTATGGTTCTTTTTTTATAATATGGCTTCCTTATGTCAACCTTGTGTTGAGCCGGTATCAAATGCTTCTGGAAATATTCTGTTATATACAGGAATACACATTTTAAAAGGTTCCAGTACCAATTCGAGTGTGTGTGTGTGTTGGGACAGGGAGGGAATTTCCCACATCAACAAGCAATGCTCCAACACCATCTGGGTGTCCTACAATTCAACTCAATTCTGACGCTACCTACTCAGAGATAGCACCAGATTCCACAGGTTAAGGGCCCAGTCCCACACGACTGCCTCCACTTCAGATGCCAATTGCAAGCCCACGTTGTTATCTGTGCTTCTCAATAACCAGCTACAAATCAAAGGTTCCCGTGGCCCCCTCCTTAGACTTCAGACACCAGCCATAAATTTAGGTTGTTACCTGCACTTCTGACAGACTGGCTATAAATCAGAAGTTTCCACAACTCCCTCCTTGGGTTTGACTCCTTTGCAAGAGCAGCTCACAGAACTTAGGAAATCCACTTACTCACTAGATTACCAATTCATTACAGAGGATGTGAATCAACAGCCAGGTGAAGAGATACATAGGGCAAGATCCCAAACAAAGGAGCTTCTGAAAGTGCCAAACAAAGGAGCCTCTGTCCTCCTGGAGTTTGCAGCCCAGCACGCACAAGTGTTCTGGTTCACCAACCTGGAAGCTCTCTGAACCCCATCCTTTTGGGCTTTTATGGAGCCTTCATTACATAGGCATGACTGATTAAGTCACTGACCACTGGTGATTAATTATTTTTAATTTTTATTTATTTATTTATTTTTTCCCCCAAAGCCCCAGTAGATAGTTGTATGTCATAGCTGCACATCCTTCTAGTTGCTGTACATGGGACGC